TAACTTTATATAAAATAATATAGTTCACCCAAACGTTGTTTAGTAACAACAGCTTTGTTTTCACTGTTATTACATGTTTTGTTTGCAAAAAAAAAATTGATCAAACTGTCCAAGTTCGATTGAAAAAATCAAAATTTATAATAAACAAATCAAATTTAATTACAAAACTGAATAACAAAAATTATAACATATTTTTGGATATAAATAAAGTTTATGGATAGACAAAGTCTGTCAGACTTTATAGTTTTTTTAATATTTATAATTATACCCAATTAATTAATTTTTTTTTTGAATAAAACTATTTATAATTAATTAGAAACTATAATCTACTAATTATTAAAAACAGATTTAAAATATTTTAAAAATTGAAAAATGAAAAAAGAGATAAAAATTTGTCAAACAATAACAAAATTTCAGAATCTATTTTTGTTATTAAAAAAGTCTTAAAACCAAAATTTAAAACTTCAAACTAGTTAATAAAAGCTGATGGACAAGTTTGCATTGGTATATTCCGAAATATTGAAAGACTTTAATATGGATGCCAGAGTTTATCAACACATCGCAACAAAGGCGACAGTTGTTAAATTTATCTCGTCTGATCCAAACATGACCTTTTCTATATCTTTCCGTACACCAGCAATCAACGACAAAGGCATCACTCATATCATTGAACACTCTGTACTATGTGGCAGTGACAATTACACCACCAAAGAGCCTTTTGCTGATCTGTTGCGAGTGAGTTACCAAAATTTTTTGAATGCATTCACTGCCCCTGACTGGACGATGTACCCCCTTTCTTCTATGAACAAAGTTGACTACGAAAATTTGATGAAAATTTATTTGGACGCCGTGTTCCTCCCACGAGTGAGAAAGGACAAATTCCCATTCTTACAAGAAGGCTGGAGATGGGAAGAAGTTGCTGAAGAACAAAATGAGAGTGGACACTGTCACGCTCCACATGAGTGTTGTGGGAATTGTACAGAACCACATAGTGCTGAAACACACACAACATCCAATGACAAACATCACTTGACCACTAACGGTGTTGTCCTCAACGAGATGAAAAACTCTGAGACGGATCCAAACACCATTTGTACGCGTGCCATCTGTCGCGAGTTATACACTGGGACATACTATAACGTCTCTGGTGGTGTTCCTTCAGCAATAGAGACACTTTCATACGCTGAGTTGCAAGATTTTTATTACAAGCATTACACTCCTTCGAATTCCGTGACAGTTTTATATTCCCCTGAATGTGTTCTTGTTGAAGAATTTGAGATACTCGACCATTACTTTACTCTAATTGGTGTCACAGAAAAGAGAGCATGTGGAGAAAGCACACCACATATCATAGTGGGAGAACCAACTTCAAAAAGAGAGTGTCTCTATTTGGAATACCCAATCGGAGAAGAAGACGACGTGGAAAACAATGACACGTTTGTTTGCGCTTGGAAACTGGGGGAGGTCGACTATGAGACGAGTTTTGCACTCGACTCGATACAAAAGATCGTCGAAGCAAAGGAAGGAAATAAGTTTGTTGAGAAACTGACTGAGCTGGGTATTGCAAAGTCGATAGTTATCAGCTACGACTCCGATCTTAAAAATCCATACTTTGTGATATTTGCGAAGAACGCCAATGGAAACAAATTTGATGAATTCCAAAAGGTTCTCCTCGAGGAGTTTGAAGAGTTTGGAAGAAACGGATTTGGGAGAGAAAAGGAGATATCTGCGATAAACACGTTTGAGTTTGAGGAGAAGGAGTGTGAGTACGGCAGTTTCCCCAAAGGGGTGTTACTCGCGATGAAAACGACCGTTGGATTT